TGTGGCATCAATGACAGGGACATGTGCTCGTAGCTAAGCAATGGATTTGTGGTCAACTGCAGGCGCATCTTTGAAACAGTTCGAATCACTGACCTGTGATAAAAAAAATTAAGGTCTAAAAATTGTACTAAAATGTCACCTCATATTCTCTGTGACAACAGCATCAACTTAAAGTAAACTGTCTCCATTCCTTGGTCAGCGGTGCATGTCAGACCACGGGCAACACAAACTACTCTTTGTTTTTGTAGCTTTCAGAGGAAACAAACGTCAGAGTGAGCAGAAAGGTGAGAATTAAAGGCCGCAGTGTTGATTCTCCTTCCTTAAACCGTCTCTCTAGAAACGGACGTCAGCTGCGCAATGCCGGCGGTCGTTCTGGTCTGATGTGCAGATCTTACTCGGCACAATTTCATCACATCCTTTTATCTTTGGCGACCAAAGAAGTTCCTCCTGGCGTCGGTTAAATCAAAAGGAAAAAAAAAGGCCTGTCATTAGATTGTAAGGCTGGAGATTAATCTGTAATCGGTAAATGCATCAGTGCCACATCTCATGGGAAATGAGCAGAATCTCCATTGACACTTGATGTTCCTCATTAGTCAGCCGACTCCTTCTGCTCCCCTCAGCTATAAACCATAATGTCTGTTTTATTGTGCCTTGTAGTGGCAGTGGAAGGCCACTTACTTTGAATTTGGAGCACAGCCATCAGAGTGGGACAAATGGAGTAACCCATTCAGCAGCTCTAAATTTTTTTAAAGACCTCTCCGCTCCAGCCTGGTGCTTGACACAAAAGGAGGTATTGATGTAAGGGAAGACTGAGGCCTTGTATTAGTATGCCCACCAGATCGGGCTGAGGAAAAGCTTCTTTCACAAGCCTCCATTCAGCATGCAGAGAGTGCCACATGGTATGCTCCAAACTTACAGTAGAGCCTTTAACGTGGGGTTTGCTGTCCTGCTGCTGAGATACAGTATGATCATGAGATTGAGTTTTAAAAACCTTTTCAGTGTACACATGCCCTTACACAGTGTTTCTGTCTGCACTGACTGCAATTTTCAGAGGCAGGGTCATCCACGAATAGGCCCGGAGCAACAAAGAACAATTATGAAAACATTCATCTGGGACTTTTTTAGGGATCGCAGACACATTTCTGTGGTTTTACGTTCCCTCACGGAGGAAGGCGTGCCTCGTTTAAAACGTGTATCAATCTAAGGTATGAGACAGGGAGTAAAGATGTGAATGACACCTACAGTCTTCACCGTCCTGCTCAGTGGCACATTGTCTTTTTGTTCTTTGTGCACCACCTGCTGACCTGACCCCGGGTATTTACTTTACTCGCTCAGTCACGAAGCAGCTGGTTGTGTGGCGGCGGCGTTGAGTGTCACCAAACTAAAACCATAAACTGCTGGAGTAAGTTCCCACTAGAATGGAGCGGTACATTTACTGAGTGAGCAATGCGCTAGGGTTTTGATTGTGGGTCAACTTAGAGGTGTTGGCTGCGTATGTGCGTAAACACTGAGGTCATAATGATATTGGAAGTTGGAATTCCAGTGAAAACAAAGATAAACCAAGAGGGAAAGTCAGCTTTTACTCTATATGGGCAGAAAGTCTGCTTGGCTCATCAAATCTTCTCAGAGTTCCTGTGGCAAAAAAAAAAAACAACAACAGACAATTACAAAGTAGCCTTGACCTCTTCATTATGTCTGGGTCCAGGGTGTGACATCTGAAGTGAATTATTGATAGATGTGTCAGATAAACTGCTCATAAATCGTTTTTGCCAATGCCCAGAATAAGCTCTTAACGAGTCATCCTGGATCTTTGGTTGCTGGACATTTTTACACTGCATTTCTTTGGTTATGGATGTATTGTTGTCTGTCTAAGGCTTCTGGTGAGTTGACTGTAACCACACCTCTTATTTGCAAACATGATTCAAAAAAACAACGTTGGCATTCAAGAACGCAAACTCGACAACTTCACTTCTGAAATCCCTTTATTCTTTCAACAGAGCTCGCTGATGTGATACTACAGCAGTGGGGGGAAAAATCCACAGAGGAAGCCACTTGACTGAAGTGCATATAGTTGTCTTGTTTTCACCCTACAAAAACCAACGAAAACACAGAGAGATACTTAATTCAGCTGATAACCACATCTAGTCTTTATGGTCAGATTAAGGTTGTTATTTTTATTACACGACAAATATAATTATCTTTTTTGTACATTTCAGCGGCCGCAGTGGTCAGACGGAGAGCTTAAGCCTCCATTCACATCACATTCAGCAGGCTGTGTTCACATGTTTTGGAAGATCTAAATCCGGAGAAAATGGGCATCCGTTTCCGCTCTTTCCAAGGCTTTTATGGCTCGGTCAACCACAATGGAGAACCCTAAGAAAGAGCACCATTGTCCGCGAGTGGAGTCACACAGCAAACGTTAACTACTACTAACTAAATTATACAAATTAATATCCCCGGGGTGTAATTGTCCAGCTATGACTTTTATAGTCTTGTTTGGTGCAGTGATTAAACAGTTATTGACTTCCTGCCTCAAGATGAAAAACAGGGTAGACTGTTAAACGGTGAAATAATGTTGGAGGATTTACTGTACATGCAAACGCTCTAGCCGTCGTGTTTGTTTGTGTTGGGAATCACTGCTGTTGCTTTGAAAAACTGCCCAGGACAGTAACATTCAGCCACATCTGAGTGTTTGATGTCTGTCTGCGGTCGCATGTGGTGAAAAAATATCTTTGGAACCCTCGTAAATCTCCAGGTCACTATTTCCTGTTTAAGAATGAATCAGAAAGATCTGGCTTTAATAACAAGACGGTGACTGGACATTTGATCATCAAAAAGACAGAGTCTGGAGACTGCCCACTTCTCATTTGAAACAGGGACTTCTGTGCAAAGTTGGCAGCGGTGGTGGAGGTGTGTTTGGAAACGGTAATATTTTTCATTACAATTTTATTTTGTTCCCCTTCTCGGTACACACTCATCCATCTGACTTTATGGGATTCTTCAGTGTGAGATCATTTGATGTGAATGTAGATTTATGTCTCCTCCTGAGTCTCCATTATTGCCTAATGTACAGCTGCACAGGTTTCACTCCGTGCCCAAGGCAGCACATCTGAATCACCTCAGTGGTTTATCAGGTATCTGATATCATGACATCATCCCAGCCTCTTAGACCTGTATCTGTCTTATATTTCATCAAGAGTTTAGTGGATGTGAAAGGACAACGTATAACAAAGCACTAGGGTGGGGTTACCCAAATGCCCTCATCTCATTGGGGGCGGATGGCGGGGGCTGAGAAGGCTTTAATTCAGTGGAAAGCGGTTATTCTATATTTTCCTTAACCATACAGTGACTCCACCCTCCTCACGTCCCACATAAAGCCACTCTAATATAAGACTTTATAAACTCTGAGTCTCCCTTTATTAGGGTTAAGGCTGAGACTCAGCAGAACTGTTTTAGTCTTCAGTTTTCTTAATCCTAAATTTGCCATAAATGATCTGTCGATTCAAGAAAATCTACTCTCTGAGAGATGCTCTACCTCGGCAGTGTGAGATCAGTGAAGTGTTAATAAATACTGGCTTAATATTAGGGAGAAAGAGGGAGGTAGAGAGAGGTAGGGACAGACAGAGAGAGAGAGAATGTGTATTTCTGTATGTGGGTGGGGTCAGGTGGACCAAAATGACTTGGACCACATTATATGTAAAGCTGGGGGTAATTACTAGGTTCGCAGACTTAAATAGCCAGGCCCACAGTAGTAAATAGACTGGATGTCAAGACAGCTGCCTCCACACTGTCCTTCCTTTTGACTGCAGGCAGAGACAAACCAGCCAGTGTGTACAAACCCTAAATGTTTGGTTTAGATATGACCAGAAATGTATGAGGTGTTGCAATTAACTAAACCCCACAGACGCTTGTAAATCAGTGTGGCTGTTTGTTTGAATTTCTTTTACAGTTGCCCTTTGGCAAAAAAAAAAAAAAGAAAATTTTAAAACGTAAAATAATCAACTATCCCCCTCGCTCACCCTCTGCTTTTTAAAAGTGTTTACACAAGTGTAAAGCGAGAGGGTTTTTTTTTTATTAGCATAGCTTAATTTAGGAAGCTCACATTATTTTACTTTTTATCTTCTAAAATATACCTATTTGGTTGTGGTTTGGTTAACACTGGTTGTTTTTTTTATTTTTATGTCAAGTTGCCATCATAAGAGAAGAACAGACAGTACACAAGAACAACTTTATAAAGTAAAAATGAAACATATAGTCTATCACACTCCATGAAGTCACTCTGTCTGACAGAGATGACTCTTTCAAACCATACCAAGGTATTAAGTAAATATGCAAAGGAAAACTTGAGAAATGATTACTCACAGTGTGTCATTTGGTTGGATGACACAAAATTGGAGATTTCCAGAAAACAGGAAACTAAATTATACCCAAACCCAGTCATCACACAGTTGGGGATATGTGGAGTGATCTGGAGACCGTTAGAGTGCATGTAAAAGAAACGTTATTTTCCCAGATGTTTATAAATGTTACATGGAAAATGTAGTGTTACTTAGAGGAAGGTAAAACAGACGACAGTCTCTTAATTAGACCCTGGCCCCCTGTCAATGATTTATTCATTCATTCATTCATCCATTCACAATCACACAAAGAGACAAAGATTAACCTACGCTAACCCAGAAGGAAAACAAAAGGGACTGGCTGCTCTTAAAGGAACAGTGTACCATACTCCTTACCTCCTCTCAGGCTGTATTACCTCACATGAAGTACATCCAAATATGTGAAAATCCACCACAGTAAAAACTTAGATTAGAATGATGAGATTTAAATAATAGATAGAAATCCCACACAGTGAAAATAGCCTGATAGGGATCTTAATCCATGTTTGACAAGTGACACAACATCATTTACCAAGGTCTATTAAGGTCAGTGGGTTCTTCTATTCAGTTTTTACACACACACACAAAAACACAATAAAAAACTACAACATGTTCATGACATAATAACATTTGAAGCTTTTAATGATTTCAACGGCTGTCGTATGGATTGCAATGAAAAAGGCAGAGGCGATGTGGCTTTAAGATGTATCAGACAGGAACTCTTTCACTTCCTTGTTTTTCTTCATCTGCAGTGTATTTTTGACATTGATCTGTCACATTTGTTTCCTGTTTTTTTTTTTTTTTTGTCATTGCTTAGTGCATATCATCACACATCAAACTGATTTTGAGGAAGTTACACAAACTTGTTGTTACAACGAAAACTGCAAAGAGAAACAGATTAGAAGATCACCACACAGTCTGGTTCATCGTGGAGCATCGTGGCCCCCTTTCATCACCAGCCAAGAGCCTAGTGTCAACTGACACAGACCTGCTGACAAACCTCGCACAATCCTGCAAACCAGCTGCAGTTGGAATGCGTGCGTACAGTAGCAGTGTAAACATCTGTTCTACAGAACGGCTCCTTGCAATCCTGAGAACAACATCAAACAATTTTTGGCCAATTAGATACATGCATGAACAGCAAAGCACTAAACACACGTGGGGAACAGTAACAGTCCAGAGTGAAAAGAACCTGTGGAGCACATTCAAAATCAGTCCTTAAGACTTCCTATTAAAACACAGTACGTTAGCATGGCACGTATCATCTAAACTACAGGTTTACTGTAGAATTAACGAAGGAAATACTTCTGTTTCCTCCCTATTCCTTTTTTTTCATTATTAATATTTTTGCTATGCCTTTTTTAGTTGTTTCAAGTTCTTTGGTGTGAGCAGCTGGGATCACCATTTCAGCAGAAATCTGGATGCTGGAAGTGTCTGGAAGCTTATTTACTGCACGCAAGCCCACACTCTCCCCCTCAGGACTCTCCAAAGTTTACAAAGGAAGGAAATTTACACAAAGCAAACACAGTTTGCCGTGGATAGAGAAAGTCATTTGGAGTGCAAAAACAACGATACACTAACTTCTCATCATATCCGTGTGTCAAATTTCAACATTCTTGCTTTAGTTTATTTACTATGTCCCGACCGACTATACACCATCTTCATCAAACTATTTTAAATAGGTAAAAATAAACTTTAAATAACACACTATCAGACAAAATATATCTCTTTGTATTAAGATGAGAGACCCTGATATAAATATCAGTCTTTCCAGAGTTTTCAATAAGACTTTTGTGAGTTATTCTATTGAGGAGCTGAACACCTTATCTTCCAGTAAACTGACAGATTTGTTCGTCAACATTTCTTCACTGGTGACAAATTTGTATCCGAATAGCTTCAGCGTCGGTCCACAGACATTCTGTACCACCTGAGCTATTTTAAAAGGCAAACTGAACCTCCACTTCTCCACTTGTTCGGACGACTTCTTCTGTGTGGAGTAAACACCGCTGGCCTCTTTGGAGGCCTGCGTGTTCTTTAGAATCCATGACTTGACATTTCGAGTGAACGGGATTCCTGTGAACCTATACATTTCCGTGGCCTTCCTCATGGGAAACCGTGCGATGTCCTCGTAGCGCACTAGCATGTAACGTCCCTGCAGCCACGATGGCTGTTTCAGGCCAATCTCCGCAGACATCCTGATGTTGTCACAGTTCCCTTTCAGCTTCCTCACCTCATCATCATCAATGGGTACACTGCCACCCAGTGCCCAGTCTTTCCAGTTCTTGTATTTGGCAGCGAAGGCCACCATGCGTGAGGCCAGCACGGCTCGGGGATCTCGAACGAGGTGGATGAACTTCACATCAAGGCGTGGATCCTCAGCCAGAGGTCTGAGTGTCTCCAGCTGACGCACCCTCACTGACTTGATGGCCCTGTGCTCCTTCTGCAGGCAGGATTCAGACGCCATCGTCAAGTTAAGGGGGCCGCAGCGTCTTGTTTTGCAGTGATAGCGCTCAAAGACACCTTTGATAAAGGGGCTGCAAACAGACTCCTCACACAGAGAGCTGCTGGACTCCCTGCGAAAGAGCCCGGTGGTAATATGGTCCACCGGGAGCGGATCAATGAAGCTTTCCAGCAGGGAAAAGTCACACAGGAAGAGCTGCTGGAGCACATCGCGGTATGCTTTGGCTGAGGCGGTGGCGTTGGTCCCTCCGGTGTCCAGTGTCAGCATCTTCTCCACATGCCAAAGTGGCTCAAAAAGGTAGAACATGTTGTCTCCCTGCTGGTTGAAAAACTCACCCACAAATGACGAACCGGTCCTCGTAGTGGCCAACAGTAGGATGTGTTTCCTGCCACTCGTCGTCACATCCAGGTGCTCGCTGTAGTTTTCCAGACGCCGCTTCATCAAGGTAAAGGCCGAGTCCATTTTGCTGAGCACGGTAAAGGAACCATTGTGCTTTGGCAGCATGTGGGAGGAGCCACTCGGCTGTAGAGGGGTCTGAGGTGTCTGCTTCAAGGTCAGCTTGTCTGACACCCTGAGAATGTGAGAGGAACAAATGTTCAACAAAAGTTCAGACAGTTTTTTTGTTGTTGTTGTTACTTAAAGTGCATTTTGAAACATCGCTACAATATTTAGTGTGCACAAAAATCCTATGCACGCTCTGTTGATTCACTTAAATGGACTTACCTCGAGATAATGTTGTTTTCCTTTTCAATGATAACAAGTGCCACAAAGAAGACAATGGATATTGTGTATTTGATCCTCATTCTTGGATGTAGCCGTGTCTGGATATGCTTTTATAGACTGCTTCTTAATAGGTTCTGCCAATCTTGCAAGTCTCCAGTCGCGTCTTAAAGAGCCTTCCAGTTATTTGTATTCCTTGCTGTAGGCCGTGTTTCACCCTGTAAATGAATTGCACATCAAACTGTCAGTTACACATTTTGCACAGTTGAGCACGACTGAGAGAACCTACTTGGGTTTAGTTCTTTCCGTCTCAACACTTGCAAGGCATTTATTCCGACCACATGCTGAAAACAGGAAGTTTTAGGTCTATCATTGTAAATGTGAAAGTGCACTCTGATGCTGCAACGGTGTAGTGGTTTCACAGAGGCCCTATTCATTACTGTGTGGTCTCTCTCTCTGCTTTTGGCTATGTAAAGCGTCAGATTTAGACAGAGACAAAAAAATCATATCTTGAGAAGGTAAGAATAGAAAAGGTGGATTCTAATCCAGTCTTTCCAACAAGGAAGTCCTTGTTATCTTTAAGTGCACCAGAGCTTTTCAGGGATATGCGCACCCATCATGCCAGACTCTGACCTGGTGTGTGAGTCAGAATCTTTCAGATGCTACTGGAGAAAACTGCAAAAAAAGGGCAAAAATCTGGAAAAAAAAAACAAAACAAAAAACATTTCTACACATTTTTTCAACATATTGTTTTTAAGCTTATTTTATACACGAAGAAAAATAAAACATCTGTCTCCATTTGTTTTAACTGACATTTAACATACATTTCTCAATGACACTGATATAAAAACAGTGCAAAGTTTGACCTAAAAAGGGACTCAATCCCAAACAGGAAGTGGAACAATAAAGGAATGAAAACAATGGCTGGTTCGAAGAGACTTGGAAAAAAGGTAACAATGGAAAAATATTTCTACAGACTCTTTGCATGCCACATTGATCTGCCATTTAAATAATTAGACATGTGATATTTGTATTAGAACCACTGAAGTCAAGGGTTGACTGAAAAAATATATTAAGACAAGTGGAAAACTCCAAACTTCTCCTCTGGAGTGAGGTAGTATTCCAGAAGTGCAAGTGTCAGAGGTGTCTGGTCCACAGTCAGTGTCAGCAATACTCCCACGTCCCACTGATAGGTAGCAGTATGTATGGTCCAGACCAACAGCTGCACCTCTGTGTCAACACTAGAGAGATTCTTTCTTCAACAGAGGCCCTTACAGCTGGTACAGTAGACCATCTGGTGATGGCCTAATGACTCGCTGCTTCCCCATAATATGCCTTACTGACTGAGACTGATGCAAATGCAAAATGAAAAGAAAAAAGGTATAAACTGCTCACTGCTGAAACTGAAGGGTAGAACTGTAAATTGTAGAGCAGTCAGCCTGGAGGCTCTACAGTACATTTATAAGTCTGTAGAGGGCAGACTGTGGGTAGTTAAATGAAGTTAAGAGTAGCTTTAATTATGTCTATTATGGAACGTTTTGTACATTCCAATTCTTTGGGATTATTATTATTATTTCCCTTTGAAGATGATAGTGGATAATCCTTAGTTGACTTATTCCAGCAAATGTGTTTGTGACAGTGCAGAGTAAATGTGAAGATCTTCAGTAAACAGTACATGTGAGCAGACAGACAGTAAATCTACCACAGTTTCTCTGAATCAGATGAATAAATTTATGAGGAACGTTGGTTTATTGGGTTTGTCAGGAGCCATAAACAGAAGCCTGGGTGTGACACTTTATGCCACACTGTTAAACCGGTAGCAGGGCAGGCCTTAGGCCTGACCTGCTACTGATACTACTGCTATTAATCAGCACAGCCGTGGGCAGCAGACCAATCTTTTCATGCACGGCTGTGTCTGACATAAAACAAGCAGCAAAAGTGAAAAACCAGATACGTCTCTCAGTCGCCTTGCAACACATCTGGAAGTCCAGATCCTCACATCCTGTCACAACCCCTGTCCTGGAACACAGTTTGGAGCCCAGGCTCTGGAAGGCAAGTGACTACAGTCTAAACACAGGTATGGTTGGGTGCTGCCTGTGAAATCCTCTGGGGGGGAATCTGTGACTTTGGAGCTCCAATAGAGCACTGTTGACGTGGAACGGTGTGTAATGAAAAGGTGTACAGATTGTACACTGAGGAAGGTTTTCACCGGGAGGAAAAACCAACTGCATCTTGCACCGCCCTGCCGCATGCCACGACCACAAAGGTCCCCTTTACACTGGAGCCACTCTAAACCCTGGTGCACTTTAAGATTGCAGAACATAAACTTGCAGGTCATTCACACGTAACTTGGGTCAGTGACTAAGCCCCTGGATGTTACAAGTCATGTACACCAGGTCAGACACTGGGCTCTTTAAGAGGAAGGTACTAAGAGTCTCAAACCGTGGTTCAAGATCCACATTTTTGTAATACATTAGGTGGACTGTGAAACTATACAGTAGCATTTATTCATGGTTCTGTGTATCAGAATTATAATACAGACATATATGGCCATAAAGATGTACGTTATTTCTGATGGACATTACTATGTTTGAATGTTTTTGGAGAGCTTTGTGTTTTATGCATTAAAGTTTTGTGTAGATAAACTTCAATTGATGAATGTATGAATGGATAGATAGATAGAATTAAATGTAGACCAATTATCTCCGCTTATTGCATCTGCTGTGTAAAGTTAATATATATATATAAACAGTATATATAAATACCAAATATATGTATATACAAGATATGACATTTGTGAATATTCACAAACCACTGACGCATGAGACACATTTGATCAGCAGCTCCTAACAAAACCGCCACTTCACTATTTATCATCTTGTTACAAACACTTTTAATGGCTGCCTTTTAGTTAAAGTACATCTCATATGAAGGCAAATTAAACACCACACAGTTAATTCTGAACTATATTGTAATGGGAATGTACCTACTGCATATCACAGTGTCTCACATGAAGTCTTTTTTGTCTTTACTGCAGTTTTTATGATAATATATGATACTCAAAAATGACAGTGACATGTGACTGATTATAATTATGTCCAATTTGCAAATTAAAATCAATCTTTAAGAAAAATAGACAGTATGGTAATGGGAAAAAAAAATTGGTCCCGCCATTCCAGTGTATACAAATAATACAGGTGAATAAATTCAGATCATGGATGGATGGATGGATGGCTGTATCATGAATAAGCAAAATGGTGGCACACTGTATGTCTGTGTGTACATGTTTGACAGAGAGCGAGAGAGTGGGAGAGAGAGAGAGGAGGGAGGGAGAGGGAGGAAGAGAGGGAGAGGGAAGGAGGGAGGGAGAGAGAGTCCAAACTAAACTTAACTAACCTAAAAGCACTCTGGTTAACGTATCTATAAACTCTGGCTGAGTTCATCATCCAGAAAGCTTCCAATCATGGCATACTGTGGACTCATAATTAAACACTGTGTCCTGTGTTCTGTCTACTGTGATAAAGCAGTATCAATGCCTTTATAAGTAATTAAACACTGTGTCCTGTATTCTGTCTACTGCGATAAAGCAGTATCAATGCCTTTATAAGGACAAGTTATCTGTGTTGTAGCATATTCTGTATACCTTGGCCACTAACCAAATAAAATAAAAACTGTGTTTTGTGTCATTCCTCTCAGTGGTTTGGTTAGGTTTTGGTCTGCTCTGTGTCAGGTTTGTCAGACATTATCACAAAGTAATAGTGTCGCAATGGTTCCAAGAAAAGACCCACGAAGACAGTCGTAGTTATGTTTGGATGGGCTTAACGCCATTACATTTCTAAAAAGCAAACTTGAAATGAAAAAAGTTAGTCGGAATAATGGGCATCATATATGTTGGTTAACATAATGCATTAACATACAGAGTAAATTCAAACCAAGTGGAATTGCGATTGAATAGATGGTAAAGATGTCTGCAGTTAAAGGTCAAAAGGACAAATCGTCCAAACTGTAGTCATGCTTTCATGATCAGCAGTCCCTGAATACAAATGAACTGCCTCGAGTCGCCTATTTGTTTAAGATCAACATGTGGTAAATAAATATATTTTAAAGTTATAAAAGTTGAATGTTAAAAGACAGTTTTGGTTCGTAAGTAGATTATTCATAAAGTGCAGCTGAGATGAGTTGCTCATATACCCACCATCATGATGAGCTGCCGCGTCCCTCTTCCGTTCATCTGTGAAGCTGATCAGCCTCTCCTCCAGTAGCGGTTCTGCGGACAGACTTTGTCTCCATTTCTGCCCGGGACAACTTCACTTGTGAGCCAAAAAGTAATCCCAGACGGCAGCCGCGGCAGAAGTATGCTGAGTATATGAAACCTGTTGATCAGGTGGAATCATGTTGGAGGGGTCTTTCTCATGGGTCCGAGCGCCGGCTGAGCTGAGGCACAGTCAAAAGTGACGCGCTGAGACTCACGGGAGAAAAGTTTGGTCCAAAGGAGCGGAGCTTCAGGCAGGGGGTGTCCCGCTGCGTGACCCTTCACAACCAGGAGGAGAAAGAGTTTTTTTTGTTTGTTTGTTTTTTTTATAACTAAAAAAGAAAACATTATTTGGACCAACATTTAAAGTGAAAGGAGTAATAAAGTGGCTGTTTGATTCAAGAGTATCAAGTTATTTGGGCAAAGTGTATTGTATAGGCATCATTGTTATTGTATAAGAAGTGTGAGCCCTCCATCTAGTGGTAAAAAACAGTTTGTGCATACGTTTGTAATATAATATAATATAATATAATATAATATAATATAATAAAAATTAGAATCAGAGTTTATTTAATTTGAAGGAAAAATGACGTTATTACACCAAAAATCAACCTGACATGCATTTTAGTCTTCGAAATCAGTTTGTTATTTCTTAATCAAGCATTTTGGTTTTTAATTTGAAAATAAACACTCGAACTAACAATAAATGTGACTCCCATTACTCAAATTACTCGAATTTTAAATATAACCTTTCATCTATAAACAAGAACACCATGTGGATAAAAGGATAAGGACTTTAAAAACAACATGGCAAGAATAAAATAAAACAAAATTCATGTGAATATCTCTATGTATTCGAAGCTGTATGTAATGAATTTAGGACTACGATACCCGTAAACCAGTCGCTTTTTGATGACGTAATGAGAACGTTCAGGCTCTGTTGCAGAACCGTTGCGTCAGAAACCTGCGCTTGTGAGTCTGAGGAGGTGAAGAACAAACGATTCTCTACGGGTGCGTAATAGTTTGTCAAATGTCCTATGAACTGTAACATACTGTTATTTAGCATCTATGTGTACATTTGAATAAATACATTAAATTGAAATTTCGTACGATATCATAAAAACCTGTTTTTAATTCGTTGTACCATGTAAGTGAACTGGCTAGCTAATGCGATTATTTTATATTCCAGAGAAATGTAAAGTTAAATATGATGATTTGTTTCTCCGGTTTTTAATGCCCCAACAAGTTATTTAAGGCTTGTAGTTATGTTTACACTGGAATTGAAATCGTTGACTTGGCGTTTTTAAATGTACGTTGTAGCGGGATGTGTCATGACGCAGTAAGCGTGTAAGCTCCAGCTAATGTAACAATTTTGATTTGCGCAGTTATTTCTCTATATTTAAGTATTCCTAACATGTTTGTTGTTTTTTTCACACTATTATTAAATGTCGTTTGACTAAAGATGTTTGATATTTATGCACCTATTCAGTCTGACGCAACAAATATTTTCCAGGTTAAGTGTAATTGTTCAAAACAAATATGTTGGTCGCGAGGCTAGCATGCCTAAAGACGCTCCCCCTGGCTGGGCTCCGTCCGCTGCTGACGCAGGGCAGCTCATCTGTAAGAGCACCTGCTCTGAAGACCTGCACACCCCTGTTCAGATCACAGCAGACACAGGTAATGTAGTGACCAAAAATAATTATATAAACCAGGCACTATAATAAAACGTAGTTTCAATTTTTGCTTAATGTCAATACCATTGTATATGATGTCACTCCATCATTTTAAGTAGATTCTGGAAGTCCTTCAGGTTGCTAAATCCCTGTCTTTCCATTATCAGGGTTTGTCCTCTAAAGCCAGATTTGGTTTTCGTCGTGGGCGGACAGCCAAAGACCAGCTAAAGGAGGCAGCGTTTGAGCCGATGACAGATACTGCCTTTAAAGGTAGATTAGTCTTTGTTACTTCTTGCCTGAGATATTTATAATGTGATGTAGTGGAATGAAAGAGAGATAAGTAAACATTTTCATCTTTTTTTGTTTTGCTTATAGTTGACCAAATGGGGAGGATTTTCCTGGCTGGAGGTGCAGTAGTCGGTCTTGGAGCGTTGTGCTACTACGGACTTGGAATGTCCAGTGAAATTGGCACCATTGAGAAAGCAGTGTAAGTGAAAAGGAGAAGTACAGCTTCAATTGAGTTAGAAGGTGAACATTAGTCAAACCAACAATATTTTTTTCCCTTTTCAGCGTTTGGCCTCAGTATGTAAAAGACAGAATCCGCTCTACCTACATGTATTTTGCTGGCACTGTTGGAGTCACTGCACTGTCTGCTTTAGCTGTGAGCCGGAGCCCAGCACTCATGAGTCTAATGTTAAGACAGTCCTGGCTTGTAAGTATGATGACATGACATGCTGTTCACACACTCAAACATTTACAGTACCATATTTTCTATAAGTTGCACTTTTTTCATCCTTTGGGAGTTTGCAACTTAATACTCAATACTCCAAAAAATATAAAATTTCACATAGTCGTTATTTTCACATTGACAGCCGCTAGAGGGCACTCTAAGGCTGGTCTACCAATATCTGCTACTCCTGTACCACTGAACACTTGACGTTTGTTAATTTCACACTGACAGCCGCTAGAGGGCACTGGGGCGACTTTTAGTACTGAAAATACGGTACTCCAGCTTTAAATCTGTCTAATGGCTTATCTATATGTGACTTCATACTTTACTTCATTTGAAGCTCCTCCGGTTTGTATATAAAGGTTGATAAACGCTGTTTTTACACAGGCAATAGGAGCGACTTTTGCAGCCATGATTGGTACAGGAATGTTGGTCAGATCCATCTCATATGAGCACAGTCCTATGCCCAAACACCTTGCTTGGATGCTCTATGCAGGTTGGTAACGTCTTATGTAGTGACATTCTTTCAACACTAGATGGCAGCCATGTACAGGGCTGCTTTTGTATAACAACAGAACGGTTATCTAAGGTGAATGTCAAAAGATCTGTGACAATATTTGTTTGTATGATTGACTGATGATTGTCTTATTTCTGTGTTTGTTAATTAGGTGTCATGGGGGCTGTCATTGCCCCTCTGACTCTCCTGGGGGGGCCTCTCATGTTGAGAGCTGCCTGGAACACAGCAGGCATTGTGGGAGGTCTGTCGGCTGTGGCCATGTGTGCCCCAAGCGAGAAGTTCCTAAATATGGGTGGTCCACTTGCTATCGGCTTTGGAGTGGTCTTTGCTTCATCTATTGGTTGGAGTTTTACTTTATAAAAATTTAGACTATAATAAATAAATATAATGAATAAATTAACACAGCAGACCAATTTTAAAGTAATTATTGTTCCCTTGATTCAAGTCAAATTCCTATGTGTATCCTGCATATCGCATGCAATGTCTCTTAATTTACAATGTGTGCCGTTCACTCGGTTTCAGAAGATGAACTGAACACTTAGTGAAAAGAGCTAGGCTTGATATCATTCAATAATCAGGGATGAATAGCATTTGCGGAACATTAAACAAATAAAAAGTGCAGGTAAAATCACATCAGTTATGTAAAAACTGAATTAGAATTCACTCTTTTTCCCCCCAGGATCCATGTTCCTTCCTGCCACCTCAGCTTTTGGAGCAGGACTCTACTCCTTGAGCATCTACGGAGGCCTGGCCCTGTTCAGCTTGTTTATTCTTTACGACACACAGAAGGTCATTAAGAGAGCAGAGACACACCCAGTATACGCTGTACAAAAATATGATCCCATTAATGCGTAAGTCACTCCCTAAGTCCATCACGGTAGACTTTTAAAAGACAATTTTAGTTTGTGGCAAGGTATTTCCCATTCTGAATTTTAACTTCTTTTTTTTAGGTGTCTGGCCATTTACATGGACACGATGAACATCTTTGTGCGCCTGGTGACTATACTGGCAGGTGGTGGCAACAGAAAGAAGTAAACAACCAACGTTTGAACTCACTGAGACAGAGATAAAAAAGATCTTTAATTCATAGCAGCCTTCATCATTGAAGTTGGTGGTTGATTGAGCATTGCAGATGCTATATATCCAGCTCTATGTTTTCTATTTATTTTTCTCACAGGTAGGTGGAGTATGTAACACAAATAACACATGATCAACCACACACAACCAGTTCTCCCGCGATGAAACAATATCATCTAGTAAATGCTAAAATCATAGGTTTGTGATTGTTTGGCCTGCGCTTAAAATACCAATGTAAAAAAAATCTAAATAATTAAACTTTTGTATTTATCTTCTGTCTTTTGTTGCTGTTAAATCTCATAAATTAATTTTATGTGGGCATATTTAGAGAAATAATAGAAAAATTCAATTTTAATAGCGTTATCGCTGTCAATTTCATTTAATACAGTAGTACAGTTAGAAAAAAAAATTTTTGAGCAGAAAAAGTCGAGTCAAATTATCTTTCACATCTGTTTTCATGTTCTGATCCTAAAAAAATCACCAGAAAAAAAATAATAAACTAAATTTGAATTCAAGAAGAAAGAAACAGAATAAACCCATTATTGGTTGTCTAAACTACATTGTGCTGCTTACAGTTTTACCTAAAAATCCACCATAAATAGCCAGTTGTTATCATGTTGCCCTTAATGATGTTTTTATTTCTTAACCAATGTTGGGTGAAATTAGTAGCTAAAAGTCATTTTACTTTATTTATGATATTTGTTGACGACACATTTAAAGAGTGTGCAGGTGACTGGAGAGTCCAGAAGGGGTCCACCTTGTCTTTACCTCCACCTTTACAACCAAGACCAGCAGCAGATGACAAAGGCTTAGTCGTAATCCTCTTGTCAACCATCTGCCTGCTTCTCTAAAGTTAACCCTTCAACTCCAGGGTGTCTGCGGCTGATGCTGAAAGCTGGAAGTATGCAGGTACTACATTTCAGGCAGCTGTGTGGTGTCTGAGGTCATGTTGGTGTACACAACAGGTGAATAATGGACTGCAAATTAAGAAACTGCATTTGTGAAATAAGCAAGTTAACGTTAAATGAGTGTCGAAAGGACCAATATTTATTAATGTGCCTTAACTATGGTGTAAAGCCATGGATTGGTCTCTTTTGTAGATTATGTATTTTCAATATTTATTCAGCTTGGATTCCGCCAAATGTGATCTGCATAGGCATATTAGGTATGGTTAGAAGTTGAATGTGACACATTTATGCATCTCAACATTTTAATTATTTTACTAAATATCCATAGGTATGGAGTGGCAAAATAACATTTTCATGTTCTATGATCTCTAAAATATTCTAATAAAGGTGATTTCACCAACATTTCATGAAGCAAAAAAGGCCGACATGATTCACAAGAACATCGCTAAAATAATTGTAATTTTTGTTTTAGAAAATGTGAATTAATATAAATCACGTGATTTTATTGAAAAATATTTTTTCTATTCCTACTATTCCCTGTTAAAATCCATGGGTGGAAAAAAGTTGACAAAATATTTTTTAATCAGAATCAGTTCTTTTATTTTTATTTGTATGAATTAAAAAGTAAATATTTTTTTCATTAAATATTAAAGTACATCATCATAATCAAACAACCACCCATGGATTTAGTGTTTATTTTTAGTAGATTTAGTAGATTTGTCATTGACCAATAAACGGATCAGCAGCACAAGCGTGTCACTGCACGTCACACACTATTTTTATATGTGTGATTGCAGGAAGGCACAAGTCAGCACCTGGAAATGAATTAAATCAGCCAGAACATCACACAGAACAGTCAGCCAAACAAACCCGCGTCCAAAGCAGTCTGAATTTTATTAATTAGATATAATTTCTCAATTATCCGTAGAGGTCAGAGGGAAGGTTGTGTTGATAAAGTATATAAAGGATCAGGCGTTTCAACACAAGTTGAGTGTCAAAATCATTTAAAATTGTATATCACAGTTCAAACAATACCAAGGTCTGAATTAGCTTAGAGCTAAGCCCTTATGCAGCACTAATACATTAAGTTAATTAAGCTGTTACTTATGAAAGATTCATTGGAAAGCATATTTATATATATATATACAGTATATATACAGTATATGTATACACACAGCACTTGTGCTTCCAGAAGTGACCACTGCTCTTCACGGTGACAGGTTAAATGTAAATGACAGGTTTTGAACAATAATTAATTATTAATTAATTGTCTTAAAAATATATCAATGAAACTAGTGATACAACAAATAAAAACTATATTAAATATAAACTAAATTGAGATTTTCCACATATAGTTAACACTGCCAGTTGAACAGAAAGTGAGCAGGGCTTTTACACTAATTGAGCATTTCATTTAAAAACTGCTCCTGCTTTTCAGGATGTCATGTTGGTTAAATAAATACCAACCAAACAGTGACTTGGTGAGGTGTAAACTCCTCTGATATCCACTGTGTCTTTAAATTGACAAGAGATGTTGAGATGAGAAGAGATGTTCTATTGTGTGCTACGGCAGACCATGTTTTGTAATGCAACAGAACAAATCAAACAGTTTGTTCCTTGAAGTTGACACCAGCAAGTCAAATGTACCATGTGTCAAATTCCACACATACAGTAAAACTTAAATCCATTTGATGTACTCCAGAGTACCTTCCTCATTCCTCCTGAAACTTATTTTATTTTAACCCCAATTACAGATTTCACTTGTGTGTACATTACAGTATGTGCAGATGTGTGAAGATCACACCACGCTGTGTGAACAAGCTGATCTCACTCCCTCTCAGTTTTGTATTTTTTTTTTTCAGAAGAGATGAAAATGGAAGCAGCCAGCTAGAAGAGAAGAGACATGAGGCAGGGAAGGGATGCGTCACTGGATTAGAGGATGAGGATCTGCCCCAGCCTCTTTCTTCTGAGTGACTGAGACGCTTCCAAGGGGCTCAACAAACACCACTTTTCTTACCCTCCACCAAGCCTTCCACATGAGCCAGCCAAGACTCAGCTCCTCTCCAGGATGAAGAAAGAGAAGAAAACACATGCTTTACTGTTTCTTCTCCTGTTCCACTTCAGCTTGGGTAGGGTTGGTATTTTTGTTTGTCTTTGTGGTTAAGACGCTCGTCTTGCTCTTATCTGGTTAATCCTCTCTCACACTGAGTGAATGTCCATCTTAGTGTGAACTCTCCTTGCTGTTACTGTAGTAGTATATGTTGTAAATAATAAGTTATGTGTTTGCTTGTTTTGGTTTTTTTTGTTTTTTTTTGTTCTAGCAACCCTAAATTCAAATAAGTATTAAAATTTCATGTCTGTGCTCCTTCTCCTCCTCTTCACTCCTTGGTTCCTGTCCTTTTTTAGCAAGTGAGTGTAGCACTTCATTTTTTATTTCTTTTTATAACCATTTCTATTTAAATTCAAAATACTGTATGCATACCTAAAAAAAACATTTTAAAAACTCATGAGGTACACACTAGGTGTAGTAAATTGTTTCAACAGTTTTTACCCTTTTGATTTATTTATTTTCCACTCAAATAACTAATAATGTGTTTCATGTGTTTTTGAAGGGCAATCTGACCACGCCCCGTATTTTTATGATAACGGACCGAGCAGCATGAATGGAAACATGGCCTTGTTCAGCATCTCAGAAGACATTCCTGTTGGTAAGTCTCTCATTTTGATGACACTTGATTTAAGTGTGAAAGGAAATTCAGTGCAGGTTTGAAAGTCTCAGTGATTAATAAGACTTAAAGCTAATCACTGTAATATTTTTTGGATTGTGATGCATACTAACGAGACTAACAGGAAGAAAACATTATGGGTGGTGACTCATCTGCCCTGATCATAAAACGTGTCAATCACGCTGACGAACAGCTAAGGATTGTTTTTTCATAAATACAAATTTAGTCCAAACATTAAAGACTTTAACAATAAAATGTCTACTCATTTGGCTAAAACTGAAGTTTGTTTTTAAACATAAATAAAAACATTTGTAAAACAATAGTATGTGAAGAAGCCATTGTCTTTCATTCAGGGACACAGATTTATATCCTAAATGGCACGGATCCAGAGGACGATCCAGTCAGATATGGACTAACGTTTGACAAGGGATCCACAGAATATTTCAGGGTGGAACCAAACTCTGGAAACGTGACTGTTATTCACGAGCTCGACCGGGAGGTGAGTCAGTCATGATGCATGAGGCATAAAAATGTCTAACCACTCTGTCTAAGAGTGATGTTTTGTTTTTCTTTTTAGAAAGATGATGAGATTTCAGTTATGGTGAGCATAACAGATGGTCGAAACAAGGTAAGCGTTTGTTCCTAGGGAACATAATTAACTCTATACTGTCGACCAGTCAGTTCATCAGTGCTGTTTTCATTTGGAGCTCAAAGTCTCTGTTTTTTAGGTTGTTGAGACGGTGAGAGTGTTTGTCACCGATGCCAATGATGAACCTCCTGAATTTCAAAACCTGCCTTTCGTTGTTGATGTCCCAGAGGTACATTATATCTTTATTATGTCTTATACAGCTCATATAACCAAAAAATACAGCTCGTGTCATCTGCAGTTTTTGAATTTTTTCACTGCAGTGTGTCTATTTTCCTAATTGAACAATAAATAAATATAAAAATAAAGTTAATCTCATGTTTCTTTTGTTGTTGTTTTGACAGGACACCACACAGGGAACTAGCATCTACAGGGTCCAAGCATTGGATAGGGACATAGGTTCAGGAGGCAGCATCACATATTATCTACAGGTAATATTTATTAAAAATAATAATAATGTAAAGATATCCAGTTAGAACCAAAAGCTTGCTGACATTTTTAGACAAACACCCACAGAGTTACAAGTTTTTACAGCAAACACGTGACTTGAAATCTCCTTGAGGAAAATCTATTTGTCTGTTCACACATGACATACGTTTTTAGGTTTTTACAGCAAACACGTGACTTCTATTTAAGTCTGTTCACACATGACATACGTTTTTAAATAACAAGAAGCTGTTGTTTGAAGAAAAAAAGACTGACAATTTCTTAAATAACTTTTTACATATGAATATTCCTTTAGTTCATAACTCCCACTTATCAAACAATAAAAAAGGAAGAATGGTAAATGTTAAATATAACATGTACTGAAAAACATCATTAATGTTCTCTGATGTGAGGGACAGACTGGAGGTCAAAGTGATATTAGGAACGCTCTGCTGCACTGATGAGAATGGTAAAGATAAAAATGCATTACAGTGATAGGGAAGTAAATCTAATACAGTCATCCAACCTAACAGCATACAGCATTATATAACAGTACATTTTTAGATTAACACCTCAGTTGATTTCTTCACTCTCAGGTATTAACTATCCCATCCTAAGTGTGTCCATTGTGTCCTTCAGACTTCCACGTTTTCCAAGTTCACCATTGATGCCCACAGTGGAATCCTACGAGTCAAACCAGGAGAGAGCCTGGACTACGAGACCACGACAACACATTTTGTGACCGTAGTTGCAAAGGTGACAAACCACTTTCTGTCTTTCCGGGTCTTGTTTCAGTCCTACACAATTAAGTCACAATCAAGAGTTAAGGTGGTCGAGTTACAGTTACATACAGAAATGATACAGAATGATACATGGCCTTTCCATCATGTATCATTTCTGTAAAAAGGACGTCCATTATTCTAAATATGCTTTAATTAATTTAGGATGGAGGCGGGAAGTACAAAGGGAAGCACCAGGTGTTGACGTCTACAGCCACAGTAACAGTCAATGTCATAGATGCCCAGGACATGCTTCCATCCTTCGTAGGAACACCTTACTTTGGCTACGTCTATGAAGTATCACTGCCTGTAAGTTCTGTCTTTTCACCACTGAACATCAGTACTATTCATATGCTGTGTACCTCTGTTGACACGGGCTCCACTTCCTTCACCCCGCCAGGGTTCAGAAATATTTACTGTGTACGCTAAAGATGGCGATCAAGGCAATCCAAACCCCATTCACTATTCTATTGTTAATGGTAAGAAGTGTACATCAGAAATAATGGTAAAATATTTCACAATCAGCGTCTGAACATTGTTTTCTGTCTTCACTTCTCAGGTAGTGATGGAGTCTTTGACATAAATAGCACGACCGGATGCATAACCCTGAACACTTACCCATCTCTGCTGAAGAATGAATTATACGAAATTAAAGTCAAGGTGAAGTCAAATATTTCTCATCTTTCTAAAGAAAAATAATTTTTTTGCCGGGTTCCTACTGAATTTTCTCACTTTAACACCCAGGCATCCGAGGTTGGACCAGATGACCAGCTGTTGGACTATGTTTTCACCATAGTAACCGTGCGTGTGGTGGACCTAAACAACCACCCTCCCACATTTTATGGGGAGAACGGACCACAGAACAGGTTTGAGGTGACCATGTACGAGCATCCACCCGCTGGGGAGATTCTCAGAGGGTTTAAGATCACCGTCAACGATTCTGATCAGGTAGATTCAGCCCCACAGGTCTACAGTTGTCTGTCTTTGTCTCTACATGCTGCCTTGTCACTGTTTATTTTATTAGATTTACCAGTGAGAATGATTCTTGAACTTTGTCCTTTTATCTTAAATTTACTTTGTCAATTCATAATTCTCGTATTGTGTTTGTTGTTGTTTTTGTCTCCATAGGGAGCTAATGCTAAATTTAAACTGAGACTCGTGGGCCCAAATAGAGTCTTGCGAGTGGTTCCCCAGACGGTTCTCAATGAAGCGCAAGTGACCATCATTGTAGAGGACACAGCTGGCATTGACTATGAGAGAGGACCAAAACTGTCTTTTAAGGTCAGAGTTAGCAAAGAATAAGAAAAAAATACGTTTTTTTTTGTCACTTACTTTATTGATCACATCACATTTACGGTTATAGCTGCAGGAAACATATTTATACTTATATGACCCAAATTCACGAAACACATTAGCCACAGCGTGCTTCACAGCAAGTAAATGAAGTGGACACTTCCTGAAGATTTTGCGACATGTATAGATTTTAGGATATTATTAATAGTCCATATTTTTCTTACTGTGCATTGGGAGTTACCCTTGAAGTCTAGGCCTGCACAGGTTTAGCAAAATGTAGATTCAAAGTATGACTTTAAGTTTAATTAGATATATTAGCTGTTGAATGGATGTTTTCTTTTTATAGTTATTTAAAATAAAACAAAGTTTTATGCAATCTAGCATTTTATATTACCACTTTGGCACTGTCACATATTTTTAATACAGTATAAATTTTGCTAATTTTTTTGTTAGAAAATGCATACAAATATCCAGCATTGAAGTACTTTTTAATATGTATAAATAAACATATCAGTACAATGACCCTCAGTACAATGACCCTGTTGAACACACTTTGCCTTTGTGTTTGTGCAGCTGTTGGCAGTGGAGATAGACACACCGGAGCGTTTCAGTGCGACAGCCGACATAGTGATCAACCTGCTGGACACAAACGACAACACCCCCGAATTCACATCCGAGTACTACATCGCCAGGGTTCCTGAAAACTCCCCTGGAGGTTCCAGCGTTGTGTCTGTGACAGTATGTTAACTGTGATTAAATTCTGCTCTAACCTGACAAAAGTGATTATATAATCCCCCAATCCTCCAGTAATACTGTGAGCAGTTCATTAGGTGAAAGCAGGTGGTCATCAGCAAAGATAAAAGGGATTCTATATATTACTTTTCATGTTACGCATAATGTAATTCACGTCTCCTTTTAGCACACATGTGGCATCAATAATGTAAAAAAAAAAATCAACATTTCATTACTCTAATCTAATCTCTGTAGTGTTTAAATCCTGGCTGCATGTCCCCACTTCACAGGGTGGAATAAAAAGCTTCATTTTGCTGCAGGGTTAATCATGTTGACCCACGACCTCTATTCCCCACTGAACAAGGAGGAACTTTTCAATCCGCCATACATAAGATTAAGTCTCAACTTATCTGAAAAAAGCCAACCTGAGTCACACTAAGTTGCAGAGAGTATATGATCATACCCTTTAATTTAAACATAATTCTAATCTTTTGCTCTGTTTTTCTCCTTCAGGCTCATGATCCAGATTCAGGTTCGTGGGGTGAAGTCAAATACTCGATTTATGGATCAGGCTCAGATTTGTGAGTATTATACGAGTCAATTTGTAAAACGTTTTGACTCAAACTGAGGTATTTTACGTAAACTCTGTAAACTCTCAAGATAAAAAGTTATTTTTTGCACGGTACGACTTGGTACAGCCCAGAGTTTTCAGGGCAGGGAACCAGATTGATTGGCCCCTCAGCTACACAAACAGCTCACTGGGATGTTGGCTGCAAGATGCGGGCTAATCTCCTAATTGGATTGGAGGGTTAAAAATAGGCAGCTTGGCCTGTCTCGTACAGGGAGAGCAAATTAAAATGCAGTGTGACAGCTGGAGCCAGAGAAACAGCTTTGGAAAAGAAGGCAGCGTGCAGGGAAGGGAAAGTGAGAATTTATGCTCGTCTACAGCCAGTGAACTGAGGTAATTGTGTGAAAGTTATCAGAAGCGCAGCAACGTGTGAGTTTTCACAGTGGAAAACAGGACAGAAAAGAAGCACACTCTGGAACAAAAGGCACAGAATGCCTTTCATTTTCTGGTTGTATTTTTTATACTTTAATGCACGTTCAACTGTTTAGCTAAAGGAGAAAATACAAAACTGGTTCACTCTGTCTCAGTGTATCACACTGAACCGTCATCAAGTCACAGCTTACTAAAATTTTATTGGTTTAATAGAAACATGTATTATATAAAAGGGAAATAAAATACAATAAATAATTAAATAAAATAAGAATTCATGCAAGGAATATTGACTTTAGTTTTACAAGGTGCTAGTAATAGAGAAGAAAGACTTACTTGTATTGTTAGTTAATAAGAGAATGACTCATGTTCACATCCTGTGATGTAAATATCACCTGTTAAAGCTGATATTTTTCACACCTGATATTTACATGTGAAACACAAACACATGGTAGATCTGATGATCTGTTAATTGGACTCACACTGTACTCCGGTTCTGCAGGTTTGCCATCGACCCGTCATCGGGTCTCATCTCCACACAGCCATGGACCTCCTTGGATGCAGAGGTCCGGTCTAAATACAACTTCTACATCAAAGCTGAGGATGCTGAGGGAAAGTACAGTTTGGCCGAGGTCTTTGTCACTGTCCTCGACATGAACGACCACTCACCAGAATTTGACAGCGAGCTCTTGGAGAAGACCATGATCATCGGTACTCCGGTCAAAATAGAGGTGAGAATTTAGGCCACACTGTTTTTCGAAGGAAACATTAGTTCAGTAGGGGATCAGAGTGAATGTTATATAGTAACGAAAGAGCCAGATAAAGTCAGTAAATCTGATGTAAATCTTAGCATTATTCATTATTCAGATTTCGAGCAGTTCTGATTCGTTCTGCTCTCTGTCCAGGCCGTGGATGATGACGCAGAGTCTCCAAACAATGTCATCCAATACTCCATAATGAAAGCCGACCCTGACAATGCATTTGACATCGACGGTGACACTGGTGAGATCAAGCTGAAGCCATACATCAAGTCCATGGAGATTGTGCAGAACATCACAATACAGAAGGACTGCAAGTGGTCTCTGGTGATCCAGGCCCGGGATCGAGGTTCTCCATCCTTCAGCACGACCGCCATGGTCAATATCGACATCACCGAGGCGGTAAGACCTGCTCTGACCCACTGCATGCTTGCATTGCTTTTAAAACCATGTACAAGCGCTAGATTCCAGCAGAAACATACAGAAAAATAGAAGGGTTTTTGCTGGAGTCTGTGATGCTGCTAACTTAGCATCCTCGCTTTAGCAAGTTACATACCATTATCTTCATGTACTTTAAAGGGTAATACTGCTGCTTTTATGCTTATTGCTGCTATTTAATAATATAAATATAATAATATTATAAATATAATTATTTGATGTCAAATGGACAAAATAATTTAAATAAAATGCACAAGAATAAACCTAAACTTAATTAATAATAAAAAATAAAAAAAATAAAAATAATTTCCACATTTAATGTCTGCTGCCATCTGGTGGCAGTTACAGTCAGTTTGTTGTAATGCATGAAACAGAAGGCATGACAACATTCGTTACCATACCCTGACAAAGTGTTTGGCGGGCCAGATTGGAAAGCCCAGTGGGCCATACCTGCCCCAGGGGCCGTAGTTTGCCCAGGCCTGGTTCAGGGCTACAAGCAGCGGTTTTGTCCCTTACTGCACTGCTATGTTGGAAAACAATGATAACCATACTTAATATTGATGCAGGTACTTAAGAGTTTGTAAAAGTTATTTTTTAAGTATTAAGATGATTTACAAGTTTCACTAAAGAAAAAAAATATTTCCTGTTAAAAAAAACCCACAGTAGTTCATGTATTTATGTAAGTCAATATCATAATTAGGAAAAAATCTTAAAAGTAGAAGGATGGCAACATTCTTATTAACTATTATTTTAGTCAGTATTTGTTGAAATCAGGACATTGTCCTTTAAAGTTGTCAATCACATGCATTCATATATTTCTGTTTGAACGTCACCTCTTTCATTTACTTTGTATTCATCTTTTCATCCTCCATGATGACATGACTCAGTGCTTTTGGTTTGTTTCTGTCTTGTGTATCGTGCTTTGCAGATCAAAGGGCGAATATTTTCGTACGTCATGGGCCTCAACAAGCGTCCGCTGACTGTTTTCGGAATTTGCGTCAGCATTGTCACTTCACTTATTTTAATAACAATCTGCATTTCCACAATCCTATACTGCAATTCAGTGAAAAAGTCAAGAATCAACCCAGAAAGTAACTATATTAAAGTGATTCGCCGAATCAAGTGAGAAATAACGGATTCCACACTGGTATTCCTTAGAGATTAAAATATATTTATTTTTTTACTGGATTTTGTTTTTGTCTGTTAGGGATTTCATGAGCAATTGAAACTGGAGTAAGAAGGGAATAATATTTATGTCATATCATTTCATATTTTCTTTTTTAAATTTAAATGTTTTATATCTTACAGTGCTACAGAATAGGAATTCAAAATTTCCATTTTTAGATCAGGTCCTAGAGTCAGCTTCATCTCATGACCTCTGATCACGTTGTTCATCTATCATCAGAATCATCTCACTGCACTGCACTGTCAGACGCACACCCAGTAGTTGGTGCAGCTGTAGGCTTTGCATTAGCATGTTGGAAAAGGGTGAGGTCTGAGGTGTGAGTGTGACATGGTTTTAAGATCTGTGGATTGGGTCTCCTCTGCCAGTGCTTTGCTCCTCAGTCCATCATGCTTGCATGCCTGCAACAAACGCTGCATTTCCACGTTGAGCGTTAGTCTGTTGGACTTGATTTAAACTCTTTTATTTGTGCTCTTTCACAGGCGCCTCTCAAAGGCCCTATGGCTGCCTTTTTAATGAAAAGTAGGGACAATCCTATGAAAGCTTTAGGCATGGTCACGTTTATCATTACGGTCATGGTAGGGGTCACTGTTTTGATCTCTACCGCTATGTACATGCGCAACTCAAAGTCCAACAGGATCACACCTGTGCGTCGCATCATCAAGAAGCGGCCCCGGGACCAGCAGTCCTGGACTTTCACCATGCCTCTCATCAAGATCAATAGCCCTGCAGACAAGTTCCTCATCGTCGACCCCGAGAGCCCTCAGCGAGACGACAGCGCCATGCTCTGGAGGAATCCTCCCCCGCCTCCTCCACCGCCGTCAACTACAAGGGTCACCGAGAGGTCGCGGGCCATACCAACAATATCTGGTGCACTAGTCTCAAAGGGTTCCAAGAAAGCTAAGTCTTATCACCGAAAAGACGGAAACATGAGCTCAGCTCTGGTGTCGGAGCTTAAAATGAAGTTGGAACAGAAAATAAAGGAAAACAACCAAGGTTATTGTTAAGGCGACACGTCACGCTCCAGATTGTCCACAGTTTTTGCGACATTTGTGCTGCACTTAGGTCACATGTTACCCAAAAGTTCCTACCTGAAGCTGTCTGGATGGAGTGGACCGACCTTTACAGTGACAACACTCGGTGTGTGTTTATGTGTTCATATGAGATAAAGGAGGCAAAGGAGGATCTGCTGCATCCTCAGCTGACCTCACTCAGGAAAGAGAAGATGGATTCTGAGTCCTAGAAATCGTCTTTACTGCCATCTTGAGGAGGGATAACATCATGTTAAACCTAAGAAGCACCTCTGAAAATTTACCCAAGAGAGGATTAGAAGGACTTACTGTGTACACAAGTTGCATAACATCATGAATAAAATTCAACACAGTACAAGGAATTTAGTGGATTTTTCCTGAGAAAAAGTGCAAGTGGATGACATGGTCGTGACCTGTCGTGTGCTAAATGACGTGTGTGTGTTAAAATTTGGGCTGTACATGAGAGCTGCTTAAAAAAATGCTGAAACGTTGTACGACTACAAGGTGCCACTGTTGTTTGTTTGTTTTTGTTTTTTACAGTATTACGAGTATTGTTTTATTTGTTTGATGGTGTGACCTTAGAGAGATGCTTTTATATATTTTGCATAGATTGATTGTAAAGTTCAGCGCTGTGTTATAATTGTGAATATACAACATGTACAGGAAATGAAGTTATCGGAGAAGACGAACAGTAGAACATGAGGAAATCAAGATAAAGCTAAGGTAACGTAGATATTGATGGGGGTTAAGTTTTGGATCTTGAAATGTGTTTTATTAGTTATTTAAAAGTAGTAAGGTTCTAAGAAAGTCATTTGATTAAATGTACCAGATTCAATGTAGTGTATTAGGTGGTGTCCAAACTGCTCACCATTTAAAGATGAGATATTAATAAATACAGGTAAATAAATAAATACGTTGTTAATTTTCCAAAATTAATAAAATGTCTGTTTATGTAAAGTTGTATATTTGTAATGTCTTTGTACCGTCTTTACCCAGAATAAATATGAGGTTGTTAAACTGAAATTTATATTTTTAGGTGTGGGCCTTATCACATTTGTTTGGAACCAACGGCGCCACCTGTAAGTATTTACATTTCCTACTATTAATATTAATGAATACTGTAGAGTACAATGAACAACTAAAACTGGCATTTACAGATATGACTTTGATTGTAAATGCGTTGGAGTTTAATATTACATATAATGGTAGTGGTTGTACAAACTGTGTATACTCTTTATATACATATATTTATATATACACTATATTTATAGTGTGTATATATTTACTGTATATATATGAATACATTTATATTGTATATTTATATATAAAAATAAACATCTACTACTTATAAAGGTAAGATATATAAACAATATAGATACGCTATAAACAGTACTTTATATATATTATTTATAAATTATTATTTATATAAACTGTACATATATACTTTACACTTCACTGTTTACATGCAGTATCTCCAAATTCATCATATAGTATACTTTTAAATATACTTAACAGTTCTTTACACCTAAAACATAAATATTATTGTGTAACGGTTGATGTGAGTTCACTGTGACTGTGCCATGGCATCTGTGTAAGTGAAATACAGCTGCTGTCATTAAATGGAAATATCATGTCCCACTCTGAAGGATCCAGATAGAAAGTCACTTTAATCTGCTTATGAGTGCACATATAAATGCAGGGGGAATCGCTGTGCTTACGTAACAAGTCAGACGGTGCCTTGGTGTTTGTTTTTTTGCCTTCCTGTAAACCCATAGGTGGTATGTTTTTTTTTCCTTTTGTTATTTTATTTTGTCAGTGAAATCAGCATCAACACATAAAAAACGAAGAAATAGCAGATGTTCAAATATTAAAAAAAAAAAGAAGTTTATGCATGTCCGGTCAAACATTTGACTTTTAGCTTCAGACAGAAATGTCACTTATAACATAAATAGCACTTATGTATTTTTATTAGTGCCACTACTCTTTTTGCATCAACAAACACAAAATGTGCCTTTATCCAAGACAGTAATGGCAGCACTAACTTGGGTTGGTCATTTTAGCCAACTTGAGCTAGCTATTGACAAGCAAAAACAGGAAAAGAAACAGGCACAGAGGTTTATATTCAGTCACAGTTCCTTTAGTACAGATGAGCAGCACTCCCTCCTTTGACCTTTTTCTCAGATTTGCCTTTCTTCTTTGGTCGTTCCTCTGAGTCTCTGCACAGACCTTCTTCACTTGTTGCCTGCAGACTATCAAAGTTGCCCTGCCTTCCTCCCCTTGGAAGGTTGTCTCCATTCCGCCTGTGTTTCTTCCACAGGTCTAGACAACGCGCCACACAGTTGAACCTGGCCTCTGTAGTGCAGGCGTACATGCCGGCTGGCACCGCCAGCACCATGGCACACACGATCACTATGATGTGGATGAGCCGCTCTCTCTGCTCCATTTCACTGATGTCGTTCCCGGTCACAAACACAATGCACTGGCCTTCCCTGGGGGGATGGTTCTTCAGAGACACACACACCTCGTATTTGGTGAGAGGAAGCAGGTCACTGACGGAGTAGCTGTTGATGCCGGGGCCGATGTGGATGATTTCTTTTTTGGGTGCATCGTATTTGCCAAAGTGGATGGTGAACCAGGTCTCTGCAGGGTTTTCTGGCACTGCGTACCACTCCAGGGTGACGCCATAAACTGTCTGCTTGGCAATGCGAATGTCAATGAAGGGAGACTCATCGGGGGACAACATGGGGACAGGGGGAGGGAGAGAAACAGAGAAGTTGGAAGAGTGGAGGTGGACCGTGATGTTTGCAGAGGAGTTGCCAATGAAATTGTTGGCCGTGCAGGTGTAGACACCTCTGTCTTCCAGGTGGAGGGAAGGGATCAGCAGCTGAGAGGTGACGGTGTCTGCGTCCACCTGGGCCTGAGTGGCTGACAGGGACAAATAGAGCATGACTGTAAATCAGGCTTATTCATTATACATACTGTAGGTAATGCTCTGTGTTTTTTAATAGCCTTATTGTTAAAGACATCAGGTTACACTGAAGCAGTTTAATGGATAGTAGAATAAAAATAGGGTTCTCACCATTAAATCCTCTGATAATCTTCTGGCTGTACATCCACTGAATGGATGCGCTGGGTCTTGCCTTGACTAAGCATGTGAGTGTTGCATTTGCCCCGAGAGGTACGGTGATGTTGCTCTGCGGGGCAAGAGCCTCTGGTTTCATACACGACTTTAACTGGATCTCGTGGAAGAACTTGCCAGCTCTGTAGTCGGGACCAGAGCATTTCAGATAAGAATTCATGAGAATGATGGGAGTAGCGATCGTCCTTATGAATTCAACGAAGCCTTTGAGGCGACAGTCGCACAACCAGGGGTTTTCATGCAGCGCTAACACCACATTAGAGACCAGCCCTTCTTTCTCCCAGGACTTCCCTGCGGTTTGGTAAAGTGGCCAGTTAGTGAAGATGTCCTTTGTTATGATGCTGAGCCGATTGAAGGATAAATCTAAATAGGTCAGGGCAGAAAGGTGTCTCAAAGCATGTTCTGGTAACACGTCCAGTTGGTTGTGCTTCAAGTCCAGAATCTTGAGTTTAGGCGTGTCCTGAAATGCTGTCCACGGAACTGAAGTCAGCTTGTTCCCTTGTAGGCGCAGCTCAGTTAGGTTCTTTAGTCCCTCCAGACTTTTAATGTTCATGACAGTGATGTCATTAAAATTCAGCCACAAAAACTCCAAGGCAGCGACTCTGGAGAAGGATCCGTGTCGTATCTCAGTTAGGTGGCAGTTTTCTATTCGTATTTTGGTGAAATCGTGTGGGAGATCTTGTGGGATGTGTCCCATTGAGGTTTCCATGCACAGTAAAGACCTGTAGTGACAAAACACGTAACAAAATCCTTTAAAAAAAAAGTTCTAAAGATAGATCATTAATAACCTTTTTTTAAATGCATGTCATTTTTTATCTTACCTTCCCAGGTTATCATCTGTGCAAGAGCAGCTGATTGGGCAAGATGACGATCCAGAGGTAAGGAGAAAAAATGCCTTGGTGATAAACAGTGTGACATAGACGGTGTCCATATTTGTGGAGGAGCATGTGAAATGGGCCTGTGAGAGCAGGACATGCCTCAGACCTGCCTGAGAGAAAGCCTATTACCTTAATCCTTGACGTAACACTTAAGACACTAAGTTACATTTAAAGTAAAGGGAAAGGTGTATTTATAGAATCTGTCCTCCTGGTGTTTCTTTACCACTTCAAAAATGTTTATTTCAAAGACAATAATAATTTAGGTCAGTCCAAATGTCTGTGTCCAATGTTAGTGTCCTCTTTGTCCCCTGTCTTCCAGCATCACTCAGGTTAATTTGTTTGTCTTAAATCAGAAGCTTTGGCCTGACGTGAGTCCTCTCTGGACTAATGGAGACGACGCCTGTCAGGCTTAGCAGCACAGAGAGGGAGGGAAGGGCAGCACAGGGACAGATGTCTGGGAAGGACTGTGACCTGACCTCGATAATCTGTAACTCATGTTGTTAAATGTAGAATCAGGACGTAGAGCTAGTGAGAAAAAACATTTGGTGAAATCTTTGTCTTATGTTCCACTTTTTAGAATTTTTGTTTTTGTTAACAGTACTTTTAAGAAATGTGATTCAACCGTACTACTCAGTCGTCATTTCACTGACAGAAAGGACAGATAATCTGTGCTTTAATTGAATTATATCATTATATATACAATAACTGCCCAAATGTAAGACTTATACTAGGATGACTGGTGCATTTTTGTGTGCGCTTCCTGTTTAATTAATTCTACTTCCTGTTGTGCCAAAAGGAGAATAATTGACATCAGAAGTAAGATACAATACAGTATTTTATCCATTTGTCAACATAGAAAAATATTTATTATATTTATAGAGTACATTTATACATACACATATATTTACACATTATAAATATACTGCTTTTTAGGTTTTCAACACAATAGTATATCTGGCACATCAACAAAATATATACAAAAACCCAGACACAAAGAGAGTGTACATGCAAGTGTTGGACGGCAGGGAGAAAAGGTCAGAGGTTTGATGCCCAGGTTAAGACATCAACCCGTCAACTGCTCCAGTTATCGACAGTTAAGATGAAAAATGCACAAGGTAACGTTACTGCATATTGAAGTGAAGTGTAAATGTACAGTATGAGTGTAAATGGGAGAATGGTAACAGTTTGGAGAGTTCATTTAGTAAATATAGAAACTGGACAAACCTTGAACACAACTGTTCTGCCTAGCACACATGCAAATCACTTAAAAAAAACAATTCCTTCTTTAAACACATCAACCTTAAAAGTGTGCGATAAATTGAAAATATCATGATTGTGTAGTTTCCCTTTTTACTTCCCAGCAAATCAATGCTGTTTTTTTTAATTCCACAAGGCTTTTTACACAGTAGCTTATATGATAGACCTACAACTGTCATGTTAAGACCTGCGAGGGTATTTAGCAACACTTGGGTTTGACTGACTAGTTACTTCATATGAGGGGTCTTTTCATAGTTTTGATAATTAATATAGAAAATGTAATTAGTCAGTCCACAGTAGGCCAATGTGAAGAATCATACATGTCCTCAAATCGTTTGTAAAATGACAGTATATTTAACTCTTTCTAATTCTTGCACAGTGCACTTTTAATCATGGATAATCTGTGTCACTTTAAGAGAACAAAGTGCATGCTCTGAGGTTTGAGGCATACATTTGGTTTCAGCAGAAGTACTCGTTAGGCTGGCCTTCACTCCTGATGATGGCCTCTGAGTCCACACTAGACCTGGCGGAGAGCAGCCTGTTGGATTCGTCAGGTGTCATTCTGGCCAGATACTCGCCCTCCACGCCCTTGGGCTTGGTCCCTGGAGCCAGGGTCTCAAAGGTGACGTAAGAGTCCTGCATCTCTTTGGACTGCCGCCCCAACAGCTTTTGACAGCGCTTCTTCAGGGCGCCGCAGCAAACGATCAGTGTCAGCGGGACAGCAATGACGCAGGCCACGGTTATGACCACTACATTAATGAGCTTCTGAGTGCCACTAGCGCTGGCCGCCTCGTCTGTTGAGAAGATTACACACTGTTCCTTTTTTGGGATCAGGCCTTTGACGCAAACACAGGCGATGTACTTTGTTTTAGGCACAAGACCCTCAATTGTGATCCTGTTCTTTCCGGCTCCCACGTTGATGCGACGCATGTCCCTCTCACCAAACACGGCGTAAAGGACACTGAATTCTGTGGTGTTCGTGGCGGTTGGGGCTCGCCAGTTCAGAGAGACAGTGTGGTCGGTGTCACCGATCACCTTCACTGAACGTACAATCCTTTTCTCCGGAGCTTGCTGTAAAGACGAGGCATTGGCCGCCAAGTTACTCAGAGCATCCGAGCCCACCAGCGTCTCGGATTCCGACTCCTTGCCCTTGGCCTCAGAGCCACTGTCCGAGACACTGTAACTCTCAATTTCATACTTCCTCGTCAAGCCTCGACCACTGAGGGATTCAATAATGGGCTGTCCAGCTGTGGTCGTTGGTGGAGGAACATATCTGGCGATGAGTTTCTCTTGATACGCTGCTCGACCCATGGAACCATTCTTCTTGCCTCTGTTTCTCCTTGAAGAACCACCAGTGTTCTCCTCAGACGGGAATGAATCAGTGATCACCAGGGAGATGACGGCATCAGCTGTGCCAACAAAATTGTTTGCTCTGCAGATATATTTTCCAGAGTCGTGGTAGGAGACGGCGGGCACGCTCAGAATAGACCAAATGATGCCTTCCCTTGAAATCTCCTGTTGGACTGTAAAAGACGGGTCAAATTAGACTTAAGACCGTTGGCACCAGTGGTTTTAAATCTCATTGAAACTTAAACTGTGACAGAAATAGGTTCAGCTCTAAAAAAACGGTAAATGAGGATTTAGTTCAGTAAAACTCACCTGTGCCGTTGATTTTCTTGCCATCGGTTCGGCTCCAGGACAGTTCTGGGATGGGAACGCCAAATGTGCCGCAGCGGAGGAGAACGTTGTTGCCCAGTGAGCTGCGTACACGGGCCACGGCTGTGTGCACACGAGGGCCCTGGCACCTCTGCACCTCGGCCTCAGTGAAAACAACCCCTGATAGGCTCTCTGGATCAGCACACCTCAGCTTGGTGTCGATCAGAGTCACTGAGGACGACGGAGACTTTTGGAACTGGACTAAATCAAAGAGCCGACAGTCACACAGCCAAGGGTTGTCATGGAGTCCTGTGGAAGAAAGCTGTGATTAGCAGCATACCCTTACTACTGTCCTTGAAACTAACATTTAGCTGACACTGCTAAGAATTGTTTGGACTAATTGCTTATAGCTACCGACGTCATTATATCGAATTTCTTCATTTGGCTCACCTAAAATGAATTTGGAGGAAACACTGAAGTCCTGAAGAGGGTTCACACTCAGCCACATTGTTAGGACATCACCAGGGACGGTTGACAGGCTGTTACTGGACAGGTCCAGATAGGTGATGTTTTTGATGTATGTAGTAGCCTCAGCTGGGATGGTGGAGATCTTGTTGTTGTGCAGGTCCAGGAGCCTCAGGTTGGGCATGTCAGTCAAAGACTCCCACGGGAAGGAGGTGAGCGAGTTCCCATCCAACCTGAGCTCGTCCAGGTTGTACAAACCTCGGAAACTGTCCACTTTGAGCGAGCTGAGTGAATTGAAGGACATCCAGAGGATCTCCAGGTTGTTGAGGTAGTGGAAGTTGCTGCTGGAAATCTTTGTGATTGCTGTCTTCTCAATGCGAAGCTTGGACGTGTCAGTGGGGAAGTTTGTAGGGACCACGGAGATCTCTGGATCATTGCAAAGCACACTCCTAGAAGAGGGAAGATTTAGTTACATGTCCTGCCCCATAATGAACTACAATAATACAGCATTTGATTTAGAGTGAATGTTGGTTTCATTATTTAGTAACAAGCAAAAGAGATTAAAGAGCAACTACAAGTTAATCCCACTCTACACAGTCAGGTTGTGTATACAGAGTCTTGTGAAAGAAACTGCATGGCAGAAACTCTTAATGCAATGCACTTTGTGAGTAAACATTTTATAATAATTGATAGTTCTTACCTTGCTTTGGATCCATCGCTTAATTTGTGGTAAAAGCAGTTGCACTGCACTGGGCAGGATGTGCAGAGAACAGGGAGGAAAACTAAAGCCAGACAAAAAGCAGCGCTGAAGTGTGCTGTCATTTTTTCTCCCCCTCTCCTGTCAGTCACTAAACGCTCCGCATCTAAACTACACTTTAAAGGTCTGGAGGGACAGGGGATGGTGCATGGTGGGCTCTCTGCAGGCTCACAGCTACATACTGCATCGACTGCTCTGAATCCTGAGATAAAAAGGATAGGCAGGGATTAGTGAAGGACTAAGGTTATTTTCATTCACACGATTACAGCACACTGCTGCTTCCTGGAAGCTGACAGGCTGCGTAGTTTTTCCCTGCACCTTTCAAAGAAAGTACTTCCACATATATCTCAGGACAACAGGCATTAGAAATCATAATAAATCTAAAACAGGTTAACAACATATTTTATTGAATGTGATATTTATCAGACATATGGGTGATGTGTTAACTCATTACTCGTTATCTGTGGTTGTATTTAAATATTTAAACAGAAAAGCAAATATTTGTTTCTAGCATATTCATTTTTATTCATTTTTTCCCTTGGTTTCTTATCTCAGAACTTTTGCTAAATTATATTTAAGTCTGTCATTTAAGGCGCTAGCAGCAAATGCCCACCAGATGGCAGTAGTTTGCACTGGGGTTTCTCTCCTGTACCTAATAAGTGCGTTTAAACCAGTCTTTTTTTTTTTTTTTTTTAATGTGCAGACATAATCATTTAAAAAATTTGAAACCAAATCAGCTTACAATGCCCACTTTTGGGAGAAAATTAAAAATCTATTTCAAACTAATTAGAAGATAAATATGTCTTTACTCTCAAATGATTTACTAAAAAGGAAATACTAATCAATTGTGAAAATGAATTTGCTAAATTAAAAAAATTCATAATTCTCAACTTCCTAAAACATCAAATCTAATCACAGGGCCACATATGAGACACAAGTATCTGGAGACAACCCTCAACACAAGACCACCGAGGTGGTCTTCCTGCTCTGAGGTAACAGCCCTGTCCATCCAAAATTATTACATGACTATTAAACATTTTTGAAGTGATATTTTACATGTACCCACAAGGTAACGCGTGCCTTAAGTCACAGGGCTGCGTCATCCCCGACGTCCTACATTTCCCGTGGTTCCCCTCGCTTTTGTTATCAAACCACGGCGTGCAAAAGTGCAAAGGGAACGTTTTGTGTTCGATTTCGTTTCCAAACACACACCAACACAAAGCGTTGCGCAGCAGATGAACAAAGTCTTCGAGTTTGCTTTGGCGTTGAGTCGCTTGTTAAGACATTCCTGTGAGGATTGGGCCGAGATTAGTCTCTTTATGCTTTTTCACGTGAAAGAGCCTTTTTAAAGTCCCGCACTTTGTTGCAGACGCAACACAACTAGAGGAGGGAAAAGCAGAAAGGTTCTGGGGTAAAGTTACAATTATTTTATTATATCATGGCGTCGTATTTGTTACCGGAGGGTTTCACGGAGTTTGACATGTTTACATTCGGATCAGCGCTGCTGGTTGGGGGTGAGTAGAGAAAAACAACAACAAACACAATAGTAGTAACTCCATGACAGTTTCACAGTTTAACTTTTTGCAAGTTTACGTGTTTTTCTTCCTCTTTTTTTAAACAATAAAGCTCTGTTGGACCTCCTCTGTAGTTAAGGGACACCAGTCAATATCCAAAATCCAAGTAAATATATTCAGCAAAGAAGAATTTTATTGAAAAAAGAAAAAAAAAGATGAAATTCAAAATACATATATAAAAAACTATGTGTTGATTGTAAATAAATAATACATAAAAAAGAAAGGAAATATCAGTAAACTTGAAACAAAATATATTTGCCAGGGGTAATTGAGAATTGCGATCAAAAAAACTTTTTTTTGGTAGTGACATTGTTTATGTGAGTCAAAGTGTACATTGTGTAAACTCTGTCTTTTTGTTTCTTTTAGGTTTGCTTGGATTCATACTTAATGCCATCAACGTCGTCTCCTTCCTCACTGTGAAGGACCTGCGGACGCCCAGTAACTTCTTTGTGTTCAACCTTGCCTTGGCTGACATCAGTCTGAACGTCAACGGACTCACCGCTGCCTACGCCAGCTACCTCAGGTACCAGGAAACAGAGGATATCTGCTCAACTGGATTCATGTTTCTCTTTCAAGAATCGATCATAATCATGGAGGATGTGTCACTTTTTAATGAAAGAAGCGCTCCAGTGTTTGAACCTCACCACTTCTACTATAGTCGGTATTCTTAGATACAAAATGACTAGAAAGTGTACTTTAAAAACTTATGGAATATGACCTGGGGTAAACTAAGCTGTGTCACATTGTTATTTAAGCAGAGAGCAGTGACATTGTCTGAGTTGGATTATGTGATACTAAAATAGCAGTCAAAGAGCTTTAACAAAGATTTATGCTCTAGTTACATTTTCAAAGCGTCTACCATTTTTTTCTGGACATAGCTGACATACTTTAATATATTACAGAGATTATTATGCTCTTTATAAATTTAACCATTCTGTATTTTCTCTTTGTCACATAGTAAAACATTATTTTATTTTGTATGTAACAACTTCCTGTATTTGGATAAGATTGAGTGTTGTTTTTTTTTTTCTAGATATTGGCCATTTGGTCAGAGTGGATGTGAATATCATGGATTCCAGGGGCTGATATCTGTTCTGGCATCAATCAGTTTCATGGCAGCTATTGCTTGGGACAGATACCATCAATATTGCACCAGTGAGTACAGTACATAGTAGTACTTTTTTTTCTTTGGACCACCAGCTCATGTGTTCACACTGTAGGGCAGAAGCTTTTCTGGAGCACAACACTGACAATGAGCGCCATCATCTGGTGCCTGTCCATCTTCTGGGCGGCCGTTCCTCTGATGGGCTGGGGCGTCTACGACTTTGAGCCCATGAGGACTTGCTGCACGCTGGACTACACCAGAGGCGATAGGTGCGGCCAATATACATTCAAATGAGTATGACGGGCAGCGCCGTCACTGAAATGCTGGCTGAACTTGTCATTTTGCTCTGTTCACAACAGGGACTATATGACCTTCATGCTTACTCTGGTGCTGCTCTACCTGATGTTCCCTGCTCTAACCATGCTGTCGTGCTACAGCTCCATCAATAAACACTTCAAGAAGGTCCATCATCACAGGGTAAACATCTCACTACGTACATTGAAATCATATCACATCTTTCTCACTCTCAGAACATTTAGTTTTGAAGGTATTATTTGTGGTATTGTGTCCTAGTTATTTTACTGATGATATGTTAGTAGAAGTAATATCAGTAATTAAAATTCGAAAAGCTTTTTCTTGCTTGTGTGCAGTAAGTATGTCTAACACTTTTTTTCATGACCAGTAACCAGGATGCAATTAAATGACAACAGGCTTATCTGTCTATCTTCAATTGCAGGCTTTTTCACAAGCTAATTAAATTTACTATTATTATAAATATAATTGAAAAAAATATTTTTAAAGTAGAAATATTTAAAAAAATAATAATAATAAAAAAAATAATAATACATTAGAAATATTCTTGCAGTTCAGTCGTTTGTCACATAAACAACTAAATTGCTACATTTTAAAAACCAAATAGATATTAATACATATTATAATGATTTCTGGGGGGTTGTTTGTTTTTTTCAAACAATAAAAAGAAAACTTAATTTCTTGCACTAACAGATAACTTTATTTCCTAGTTTAACACCAATTTCCCCCTGAGGATCATGTTGATGTGCTGGGGCCCCTATGTTCTCATGTGCATCTACGCCTGCTTTGCAGATGCCAAGGTTGTGTCTCCAAAACTGCGCATGGTAAGAGTTTATGTAGTTTCTTTTTAATGAAGTGGAGTGCCTAACTTCACTTTGCTGAAAATGGATTTAATAGTTGTATCAAAACAGAATGGTTTCTTATTTTCTCAGGTGCTTCCAGTTGTTGCGAAAACCAATCCTATTTTTAACGCCCTCCTCTATGGTTTTGGAAATGAGTTCTTCCGAGGAGGTTTATGGCAGTTCCTCACCGGACAAAAGATGGTGAGCCCAGCCATTCAGAAGTCAAAATAAAAGGTCATTCATGTCCCTGAAACGATCAATGTATTATAGTTAGACAAACAATATCACTGAAATGCTGTGGTACGTTTACATGTAGTAAAATGACCATATGTGCAATAGAAAAAAATAGGTCTGCATCAAAAACTCTTATCTTAAAGTTGTCTTTCTAATCTCATCTCATGAGTTCATGTTAAACTATTGACTTGTGAAAACACTGCTGCTTTTTTGTTGTTTTCAACTTAAATAAACAAGTTACTTTGACTGATGTGTTGTTCTGGTTGTTTATGGATATCTTTTTAGCCTGTACTGCGCTAGTAGTCACCCTGTCACCCTATGCTACATTTGTAGACAATAAAAGAATAACAAATTTTTCTTTTTTGATTTCACCAGCCAGCAAAAGTTCCAAGTTGCTCGTTCTCCATGAACTGTGTGGCAAGCTTTGAACTTTTATCACAAATTCTGCAGGACAGTTTAGCACTAATGCTAAGCTAATTTAAGGCTATTTGTTTTGTTTTTGCTCATTTTCTTCTATATATTTTGGACCGTTTCTTTGGCAAAACTCAATTTTCTTTTTATAGGCATGCCTTAATTTACTTTGTAGCTAATTAAGAATGTTAACTCATTTAAGGCAGAATTTCTAAATAAAACAACATTTCATGACTTATTTTTATCAAGTTGTGTCATATATATTTAAAATAATAAACAAAGCAAACATTTTTGATTCTTAAAATGAAAATATTTATTTTTTCAAAAGAAAAACTATCAATAACAATTAGCAATTATTTGACGTAATTCAAATGGATGTTTATTGAAATATGGTGCATTACTTATTGATATGAAATAAAGACTGCTAGATATTTTGACATGTTCAGATGTAATGTTTTTCTGAGTTTTTAGCACAAAATATTCACTTGGCAGCGTGTTTTGGTGCAGAGACTTCAATTTTGAGGCATTTCTGGGACTTTTGATTTTTTTTTTTTTTTTTTGCATTTTCCGTGATAGTAAGACTATAGGTTTTCTTTTCGCCCGTTGGGCCCCTTTCCCTTTTTCAGCAA